TTTGCTGTTTTAGTCAGTCAGTTAATCAGGCACTTTGCCTTCTAAGCCAAACAGAATAACAAAATGCAATATTAGTTTTAAAAGACTTTTTTATCTCTCTTCTGAAGTTCCTTTGCCAGTCACCACCGCCCAGCTCTTATTGTCAACATGCATGATCGCTTCTTTCAATATCTCTTTTTAATAGCCTGTATCTCTGACTAAATCCTGATTTCCCTTCCCATAAATTCTCCTCCCCTAAAGCCAACATGCAGGCAATATCCCTGGCAAACTGAACATAGATGTTGCATTGTTCTGATTGAATTTTACTGCTTCACAATTTTTGTTTGAGGCAATAATATATGATTGCTGGGAAACAGCACTTTTTTTTTTTGACAGATAGAAGTGCTGTAAATGTATTTACTTTTGAAGTCAGAATGCATGCAGTGTCCATTCAACTCTTTATTTGCAAGTTCTTGCTTTCTATAGGACATTTTCCCTTTCATTTCCTTGTGGCACTATAAGGTATTTGACAGCTCTTTATTCATAAGTTCWGAAATTCTTATTCTCATTTCTGAATTCTTTCTCCTTATAGTGGCACTCATTCTTTCATAAAGGTGTAATGAATCAACTTGAAAAAATATAACTGCTTAGGTATAAGTATTATGTTCAAGGTATATCTAAATGTTTTTAACATAAATTACTTTTGTTGTTGCATTGTTGTAATTATTGTATTTGTTAAGTATTGAACTTGTCATTATTATTATGTTGTTGTTATTGTTGTCGTTGTTATTATAATTGTTGTTTTTGTTATTATTATTATTATAATTATTGTTATTGATGTTTTTGTTATTCATAATAATAAAAAATGCTTTATTCCATAAATATCAAACATTATACAATGTATAATGTTATGAAGAATGTAATATAATCATTGTTTAGATAAAGAAAAGAAAACTTTAACAAATTAATTCACTATTACTAGCAAGTCTTTGTACAAATTTAAAATTTCGAAACAATACTTATCAGATGATTTGACAGTAGATTTGTTCCATTCATTGCATTCGATAAATATAGAAATAGAATGTTTTATGTGTTTCCATGAGAGTTTTGAAAGAGTTGCTTATAATTTAATATGTGATTTCATACATGTACATATATATTATTTTATTTTTAACTAGTACAATGTTTTGATCATTTTGATTCTTTCTTGTTAGACTCATAATTTCTTCTATTTGTGTATTATAAAATCCTATTACTAAYAAAATGCTGATGTTTAATTCATCAGTGTTTCATTTACAATTGTTATCAAAAAACACAAGATTATTAAACAACTATTGCTAAGTAGTGCAATATAGTGTAGATTAGAGAAAAAAACAAAAGTATTCGCCGGTATACCATTTAATACAATATACCACTACTATACATATAATTGTGGGGTTCCTGTGTATGAGTAGGGCCTGGTACAATGAATAGAATTAGCCTCTTTATAACTCTTAGTAAAATATGAATTTATAAATAGACATTACGGCCCGACGTAATTGAAAACTCAATACCAATTCAGTTCCACAACTGTCAGAAACTGAAATGCGGGTTTCTGTTCAGAATATAAAAATAGATGTCGCTTATGACGTCATCTTGAAGTCTCGCGGCTATCGTATTTGCATAATTCAACAATGCTTGATTTAAAAATACTATATTCGGTCCATAAGCGATAGATGTAGTTTTTTTATATCCATTTTGACTCCTTTTTTGGACCTATCTATTCGTCTACAATCGCGTGCTTTCTGTTATCTGCCAATATCATCAGTAACGCCAWTGTTTTCCTATATCGGCCAAGCATCTATTAAAAATTTATTTTCAACCTTTATTAAGCCAATAAAATGTCACTGGAAACTTCTAAAATTGAGCTTACGTTTGCTTACGTAGTAAAGCTTATTGAAGTAATTGAGTATGAGTAGTTTCTTATGAACTGGCTTTCGTTTTGAATTGAATATGATATATTGTGATAGAGCGAATGTGAATATATTCTTAAGATTTGTTTCAGATCCAAATCCGTGAAACATATACAAAACTATAAGATTTTTTTATTCATTAATAAGCKTGGTCCGGTCTAATTGAGTTGAGACACGTTACCTGTGAAAACATTTTACAGCCAACATTTAAGMATTGTTGAATGCAGTTGAGATTGTAGGGTTGTCGCCATAGAGTAAGGTCCAAAAATCCGTGAAATAGATATTATACTAATACACCTAGTGTTCTTTTGTGTCTATTTGACTACCACTATAATAKGCAAATGTTGTTTCACGGGTTTGATGACCTCACTCTAAAGACATGACAGTATTCGACTAATAACCCATCTTTCGAGAATTTATTGAGTGCAAACACAAATGCCTTTTTTAAATAGTGAATTGCACTGATTTATACGAATTCGTTTGTAGTTTCTAGAGTGAACGCACTTAATCCGTGTAACTGTAGAACATCTAAGTACTTATTTGTACTAAAAGTAGACCTGAAGCAAGACGGTATTGAATGCTTCATTTGTATCAGTTCAATTTAATTTGCGTACCGCATGCACGATTTACTAAATACAACTAAATAGAACTGCTTAGTTTGTACAGTTGCACGGATTAAGTGCGATCACTCTATTGAAAAATTAGTAATACTATTTTGTACCATCTTATGCTAATTCTTTTGTTTTCTTTTGTTGAATTAGCACTATTTTGTACAGTTACGTAATTAGTATTTCACGCTTTTACTGAAAGCACTCTATCCGTGAACCATTTTGTAAAAGATAAAATAAAGAAACAAAAGAKTTCACACTAATTTGCCTAATTTAGTTCGGAAGCTATTTCATAGATATATTGAAAGCACTCTACTTTTTCACGCTTTCAGTGTTTGCATTCATTGAATTATTACTAATGTCTCTTGAGTTTTTGTTTCACGGGCTTGTGGTTTTAAATCTAATTTCGACTGTACTTCTTCTATTGAAAAGGRGGAAMTTATTGAAACCAGACTAATGGAAAATGAAGACGCTAAACTCGTGAAACAAACTCTGATAATCGATGTGTAGTCCTGTGATTCCCCGAGGACCACGAAAAGAGAAAGATAATGACAATATTCAGTTAAAAAGGAATAATAAATCCACAGTTAATTGTGAGCCTAACTGTTCTTCCATGATCCAAAGAAAATCACTGAAGTCAATTCGTTTTATTTATGTACTTTGTATCATTCACTGTACTATATTATGGATAATATGTCTATACTAATGAAAGCGTTCAGTGTAAATTCAAAATTGTGTAAAACAATTTTGTTTTGATCGAACGGCGGTATAAAGAAATAAAGGAAAAGATTAATCAATGGATGTCACGCTGATCGGTAATGTTTTTTAATCTGTGGCCGGAAGAAAGTCAATAATTCTTAACCTTAAGATGATTGYCGGAATAATTACAAACGGTCAACTCAACTGTTGAGTCACGAAAACTGATTCACTTCTCGAAAATCCTACATTTTGAAGAACTRTATCCATGATAAGAAAAGAAGCAGTTTGG